GTCCACACGCAGCAGCATCTGAGGGGCCTGGGTCAGGAACCGCTGGTACCAGAAGACGTAGGGATAACGGCTGCTGGTGGAGAAATTGCAGCGCAGTGTTGCACTGTGTCCTGCCTGGACGGTCGTTTCTGGTGGGAACTGGAACACAGAGTCCTTTTGTGCATGACCTGTGAAGCCAGGAAGGCATTTTGGCTCTGCTTATCCGTGTGGCCATTTATTGACTACTTCATCAGCTCTCTTGCTATCCCCGTTCTCCATCTGACCTCTCATATCATGCAAAATGCTGAGCTGTGCATCTCTGCATGCTTCATCTTGCAGGCTCTGGTCACTCCTCACCTCACACCCTAGACGATCCTACTTTCCAGCAGTATCCTGCGGGCTTTGAGTCCATCAGTTGTCTTCCTGTCAGTCCCTGAGCTGTATTAACTGTTGGTCTCGCCTTCAGCAAGACAAGCGATGAACTGTTCCTCCCCTGCCTCTGATCGTAACTGCTTACGGTAACGTTTTCGCCAAACTACACACCACATAATCCGTCCTTGACCTGTCCTTGTACAGCATTTGAGTTTCTTGCACTGAGTTAACCTTCTCTATATGTCCTTCCGGGATTACACCCAACCCTACACAGATCTGTAGCATTTTACCCAATACATCTAGGAGAAAAGATCCTATAGGCAGTATTGGGCTAGCATCTAGCATCTCTCTCCTTCCAATTGCAGATGCATTAACAGTGCGCGCAAGAATGCAACTTTCTACAACACTAAAGCGTAGTCTTAGTCCTCCTTTGATGCCCATTCCACCTGGCATAGTGCAGGTTATTAGCGATGTCCCATCTGCAACCCCCGCCTCCCTACAGAAACACTGCCAGTTACCTGGAGGGTCAGGACTCACATCCCCCGCTTCCACCCCCGACAGCACAAACTCTTGCCCTGCTCCTCCCCAGCCTGCAAGTTGTGTCTCACCAAAGTCTGCCAGTCCCACCAGGGCTGCCAGGAAAATCAGGGCCATGTCAAGCTCTCCTCTTCACGGGGTGACCAGGGACCTTCCAGAATGAGCGAGCTGAAGCTTGCGGGTTCCTGCCTTCTCCTCCCTCTGCCAGCTCAAAGCAGCCTCCAAACCTCAGCCCAGAGGGTGGAGCAAAGCTCCCTCACTGCTGCTTCAGATAGGCTTCCTTGAGGCCCACACCTCTACCACAAGACGGCTCTCTGGAGAGATCTTGGGCTAGTGCTGAAAGCGCTCAGCAAAGGAATCCAACTGCAGGAATCCTTGCTGGGCCCCAGGCTCCCTAAATCCAGGGCCATGCCTTTTCAGCGCCGGAGGTTTGGTACTTGTACGGTTAAGCCACGTGCGCAGTTTACTTCCTCTGAAGTCCAGGCCGTGTTGCCAAAGGGACTGTAGGACCATAATGGACGGTTAAGGTAGGCTGTGGTCAGGCAAGAGGGACACAGAGGAGGCTCCTGCGGCCTTCCTTCTCTTTTGGCCCTCCTGAAGATCGCAACCTGCCCCACCATCATACAGCAAGGGACAAGCACCCCAATGATCTTCTCCTGCCATCCGGCACCCAGGCAGACCGAGGCACCCCCAGCCAGTTCTGGAAAGGACAGGAAAAGCAACCCTTGCGTGCCCCCGTGTCCACCCTGTCCCAAGGGAGAGTCTGGGTGGAGACAGGACCATGCACAGGCAAAAGCGCCTGGACTCAGCTGTCTGACACTCTGTCCCCAGGGCGTTTTTCTCTTCCTTCTCCCTTGGCCACAGAGGCGGCTGGCTCCTCAAGAGAAATGTCTCTGAAAAGAGCACTTGCTGCAGTGTTGTAGAAAAACTCTACTTGCAGCAATTTAGTTCAAACAGCCTTTATTCACACACGCGCGCGCACACACGCTGGCAGCTGCAAGGGAAGCATGTCCAGTGCACAGCTCAGACAGAGGACCGCCTGATTAGCATAAGTAGATGACTTCTATGCCTTTCTTCAGGGTGGTATGGTCACTATCTGACACTCTCTGACTGGCGACACATATAAAGTAAAGAACAGAGAGAATGGATTCTTCTACTAGAAAACTCCACAGCTTCTAGTCAGTTCTACCCAGTTTGAATTCCTGGCGAGCCAGGCAGGAGTGAAGGAGTTGATGCAAATTTGCGGAGTTCTTCTTTGTTCTACCTTAATACGGCAGTGATTAGGAAAACGGAGTCAGTCTTGCCACTATTGACTCTCTGTTACTTCCATAGCAGAAGTCACCCATGCAGGGACAGACACACTCCCTGAATCCGGTAGGGGGAGGACACCCCAGTATAACCTTCTCTTTTACAAACGATGCCTCTCTATCCAGAGCACAACTCCCAGAGGCGGCAGACAGACACAGCAGTTTGTGCAGCAGTTTGCGCAGAAGGCAAGAAGGCACCTTCGTTTCTCCTGGCAGTGTGTGCTTCCTCAGGTACGGTCAGGACACGCTGCAGAGCACGTTCCCCAGTGGTGGTTGGAGTTGCTACGTCACCTGTGTGTGAAGCTTCAACCCAGACAGACCCTCTGACAGCAGATGCAGCTCTTCAGCTGTCAAGCTGCAGGGAGTGCCTAGGGCCTCTCCGTGAGGCCTGGACTGACAGTCAGCTCTCCTGCAAGAAGGTGTGCTGCGGTTGATCAGTGGTATCGCCAGGTAAAGGAGTTACGGGAGGAAGTCAGTAGGCTGCGTAGCATCCAAGAAGGTGAGCAAGAGATAGAGAGGGTATTCTCGGAGACCGTGCAGCTCCAGGAGTCCCCACTCCCTACTGCAGCGGAGTTGCCAGAGGGCTCTGTACCGTGTGAAATGGTACCTCATAACACTGTTGAAGAAGGCTGGAAACTGGTCACTTCTCGTAGAAGGAGAAAGGCTCTCGCTCCTCCTCAAGACTTTGTTCCTTTGAGGAACAAGTTTAGCACCCTGCAGGCTGAGGAGGAGCTGGGCATTTCTTCAAGGGAAGCTACTGGCCTGACAGACCCCGTGCCAAGTGGGAACACCCGGAAGAAGCGGCGAGTGATTGTTGTGGGTGACTGCCTGCTGCAGGGGACAGAGGCACCTATCTGCCGACCTGACCTCTTGTCTGGAGAGGTTTGCTGCCTGCAATTCGGGGGCTCGAATAAGAGATGTCATG